TGAAACTATTGTGAGACTTAAAAGGATAATAAAGAATGAAGGTCACGGCGTTGATCAATCGCTGAGGGATGCACCATGCATTCGACTTCATTAAGTATCGTTGGAGGTGATTGAATGCGTATCTGACCTTTACAATGACTCGCAGTGGCCTACCGATATAACGACTCAGCGCTGCTATCCTCCCAGAGAAGTTTGGTACCAATTTGCCGACCCCGGAGGGATAGAAGACTTGGTGGGCCATGATCGCTCGGATCAATTCCACGTGTATGTCGAAGTGGTGCTTCAAACCGCTGCGCCACACGCGCCACATTATAAGCGGTGTGAGACCTAGTTAACATTCCCACGACCGACTTTCTATTAACCTCGGGATTGATCAAGTAATTCTTCGTATTCTTGTTGAGCAAACGCGAGGTGTTACTTTTATTCTATATTCACGAATAAGCTGACGTTTCAGCGGATTTCGCTTATTCGTGAATAAAGAATAAAAGTAACACCTCGCGTTTTGCTCAACAAGAATACGAAGAATTAGTTAACATTATTCCAATCTGAGCAAATCGAAGGAGTGGTGAACAGATACGATCAACCCGGAAAGCAAAGTGATGTAGAAGAATGTGCGCGACTTCTACGCATTGTTTGAAGGGAAAGTGGCACTACCATGTGGTAAAAGTAATGCACAACCGTCCTGCAGGTGCTAGCCTGTGAATCGCTTAGAAATATGGTGCAAGCTAGCTGAGAGGGAAAAAAATGAGCCACCTGACTCATTCTCTGTGCAACGAGTTGACTAGTGTGAAGCAATTACGCGAAGTACATGGGTGATCTAGGGAAACATAGAGAACATTCGACGCTTTTGGAGAATGTTATCAAGAACTCCATAGGAGAAAAGAAAGCTTAGTAGAGAGATGGAAAGGCCGTGAAGACGGCCGATACGACTTGATGAAGCAAAACTGACAGCTTCATTAATTAATTCGTCGTAAAGAATGTCACTTCACTGTGCTTCTTGTGAAGCTTGTTTCTTTCATAAATTTGAAATCAACGTGAAAAACGCCTATTCTGGATCGACGTGCGGCCGTTTGTTACCATTGGATGCAAGGGATACGCCACGTAATCGCCTACCACTTAAATTCAAACCCTTCTCCAGAGCTCTCTGTAGGGTGTTTCTCTATGTAACACATCAACAAAGAGCAAAAAAAGCGCCGCATTCGGCTACTTTGTTCACGAGCACTGCGAGTTCTAAACTGGAATTTGCCTTGGCATTTGTCGTTCATGATGGGGGTCTCCGCCCAGGATTCTGAATCGCTTATATGTATATATACATATGTATATATATATTATATGGTCAGTGGTCGGAGGTGCCCGGTAACGCACACGTGTAGTCGATCACTGCGCCCATATCCCACCAAAGTTTCCATTCCTCCAGGGTCGGCAAATTGGTACCAGACTAATCTGGGAGGATAGCAGCACTGGCTCGATACATCGGTAGGCCACCGCGAGTCATTGTAAAGGCCAGATATGCATTCAGTCACCTCCAACGATACTTAATGAAGTCGAATACATGGCGCATTCCTTAGGGATTGATCAACGCTGAGAGCTACCCTTTATCCTTTACGCTTCGACTTTTTCTACGTCATAGTTTGATGTCGGCGCGTAAATAACGAAGATTGTCAAAGCCGGTATTGATCCACATCTTTTTAATCGTAAAATTCCGATTTGGGTTGTAAGCTGTTCGGATAAATCAATGTTCATGGACAAACTCGTGTTGACGAGAACGCCGACGCCACCAACTCCTCTACTGTCGCATGTTCCGAGGAACAATTCTTCTCCGGTGTCATAGACGGCATTGAATGGGTGGTATCGTCGATGCAAGTGTACGTGCATTATAGGTACAGATCGTCACCATAGTTCTTTGTAATCCAGGCAGCTTCCATTGGTCTTGAGATTTTAGCAGCCTCTCCGTACTCGTCCTACCCAACGCTGCGAAATTTAGAGCTCTTTCAGGGTCAGAGGAATGAGACCCGTTTTTTTTACTGCGTTTATCATTTTGATACCCATGTATAGCTTGCTGGGACTTTAACGTGGGGGCTAGGTATGCCCACGGATACCCTGCCGGTCTCTCCCAGAGCAGACATGGAGCTTATTTGTTGGTGGCGACTGCTAACCGCTTCTCTATACTTCCCTGTTATTTGATTGCAAGCTTTTACCCGAATTGACTCGTAGAATACAATCCTCATGAAGCCGAACACAACCACGCACGTATGCATGAGTACGCCTCGTAAATACGAAAAGTATGCTCCAAATCGGTGCAGCAGAAACAGGGAGTCCATCCTATGGATCCACCTGCGTCTCACGGAAGCAAGGGCCGCTTGTGGTTCGCGATTAACACCCTATCCGCCACCTGGGAACGTGCCACGTAGTCTCGCGACTAACCGGCTCGAGATCCCTGATATGAGGGAGACCGTGGGACAGAAATAAATATCGACAAGAATTAACTGGAGTTTTTAAAACGTGATGGAGAACTAGTACTTTTTCATTAGAATTTTCTACGCACTGCGGAGCCTGTTTCTTTAATCTCATTGATCGTCCACTACTACTCTTTATTAGTCATTATTAGGGGCGCGTGTGGCGCATTAATAGGAGGCGTCCTGCAACGCACATGAGATGAATCCCGGCACCCTAGGCTCACCAAGCCTTCCATTCTTCCGGAGTCATGAAATTGATACCAGACTTGCCTGGCAGTACAGCAGCACTAAATCGATACATCGGTAGACCACCGAGAGCCATTTTAAAGGCCAGATATGCATTCAATCACTTCCAAACGATGCTCAATGAAATCTAATGCATGGCGCATCGCTCAGGGATTAATCAACGCTGAGAGCTTTATCCTTTTACTACTCTTCTATAGCAACTATTTGCAAAGATGTTTTTATTAACGTAGCACCTTTTTTTCCATCTGTGTATGCTCTCCTGTGTAAGCGATGTAGAAAGCTGTTTCTATAGACGTTACACTTTTTTCAGTGCTTTTAGATGAATCACGAAAAACTCGGTGGTGTATTGATCAATGTTTCCCGCAAATCATCTGGCGCACCGGTGAGTCATTTCTTTACTATTTATTGAAATTTATCCATCAGGAAGCCGTTAAGAGTAAACCAATACCAGGATCTACCACCGTCTTGGCATCAAACTAGTCGCATGGTGGCAAAACTCCCTCTGATCCATAAGGACGGCCTGTGGTGGCGAAGACCTGAAGCGGACTTTGGGTAGACTGACCTCGGCAGTCCAGGGAACCACGGTGGCTAAACCAGCAGAATTCCGAAGAAATGGAAGTGATGTTGGCCCCTGCACAAGGAGTGAAGAAGAGCCGTCCACGTATCCAAGTAAGTATTCGGCCAATAACCTACCAAATATTAGACACATGCATTATTAAATTATTCAAAACATGGTCGTTAAGAGCATACATGAGTGAGTCAGGTTACGCCGGTTAGGATACGATCCGGGGATGGTTCATTGCATGACGAAGGGCACTTAAAGTACATTTAAGGCACTTGAGGGAACTTCCTCCAATGAAGGCCACCGATTTTATCGGCGTGTGCTGGACAAACAGGACTGGATCTACCAACAACCATCTTGTCCTGCACGACGTCCTGCCACTCCACGACCACGAAGCTACGACAGATGCTATAGAAATGGTGTTGAAAAAATGAAGATGGTAGAGAAACTAGGTATGGAAAACTACTATCTGAAATCGATCCACAGAGCCAGATTTCGTCTATATTAGTTAGCATTACCAGAAAAGGAAGCGTGTAGCGTAGTGGTCGGAGGCGCCCTGGCCTACACATGAGTTCGGTCGCGCGCCGAAGACTCACCAAGCCCTCCATCTCCACGAGCTAGGCAAATTGGTGGTAGACTTATCTGGGAGAATAGCAACACTGGCCCGATACATCGGTATGCCACCGCGGTCCATTGCAAAGGCCAGATATGCATCAATCACCTACAACGATGCTTAATAAATTCAATTCAGATGCGTGGCGCCCCTCAAGGATTGATCAGGCCCGACAGCTTTACACTTTTTTCCAGAATTGTCCGGTTTTCACTTACACTTTCAAGAACACTACGCGAACTCTAGTCAAACCGAATTAGCACAAATTACTGCACACGTTCTCTTTCCCAGTTGCCGTCATGTTAAATGTGATGTCTGAGAGCTGCCACACACACTGTGCAGAATTAAACGGCTTCTAGAAAATTCTGCTCAATCACAACATGTGTTCTTCCAGGGCTGGTTACTTCTTGCTCATATTCTTCATCTGTGTAAAGTTGTTAAAGTCGAAATTAGTCGCCTTATTTCTAATTTTGCTGTTCTTAACGCTTTTAATGACTTGTTCTTCTGAGTATTCCGCTAAAGTTGTTTTCAAGGCTTAGCACACTTATTATTTCCTCTCCAGTTAAATGTCAATATTTACGTCTGAGCCATACTGTGGTTGCTTATTACTAATCTTTATGTTTGTTTGTCATTGTTTGTTTTTTAGCTTGTTTATTGCTTAGTTAAGAGCTTGTGTAGCGTAGTGGTCCGAGGCGCCCTGCAACACAAACGTGGAATCTATCCCCGTATCCATGGCCTATGAAGCCTGCCATCCCTCTGGGGTCGGCAAATTGGTTACTAGACTTGTCTAGGAGGTTAGCAGCACTGGTTCGATACGTCGGCAGGCCACCGCGAGTCATTGTAAAGGCCAGATATGCGTTCAATCACTTCCAAACAAACGATGCTTAATAAAGTCGGATGCATGGCGCATCCCTCAGGATTGATCAATGCCGAGAGCTTTATCCTTTTTATCCTTTGTTGCTTAGTTATAGCATTTATTTTCAATATTTGCACGTCTCGAATTTCTCGTAGTGTTTCTTGAGATCTTATATCGTTGAGGAGTTGAGTTTTATATAACAGTGTTTAAAACGGATTACTGGGCAGAAATTCGTGGATCTGGATTGTTGAGTGCATATTTCTCAGCGATATGCCTTCTGAGACAGCAGTTTGTGAAGGGACATTCGTACAGTGCTATAACAAAGGTTGCGGAAAAAAGTTCGATCCAGAAGCAAACGATACGGGTGAGGTTGTTTTTTTTCTAGTACACCTCATATTTTTAAATTATTTAAGTCATCTGTCATGAACAAAGTGATCTAATCTTGATCGAGTCTTTTTTTCTTCTTTCTTGCTTCTGTGACGTTCCCCTTCTAGAATCTTGTCTTTACCATCCTGGACCTCCGTATTTCCATGACGCTTATAAAATCTGGAACTGTTGCAATAAGAAAAGTACCGATTTTGGAACATGGCTCAATTATCCTGGTTGTACTCGCGGAAAACACAATGGTGAGAAGCCTGTGGATATCGTCAAAGTTGCTGCAGTTAAAGAAATACGGCCTGAGAAGGTGGGTTTATCGAAAACTTCATGTAATTTCCTTAACAATTGATAGAAGTTGCTACTAAAATGTTCTACTATGGGACTGTGGGTGGCACGTTACAGTGGAACGCAATCATAGTGGACACAACCTCAGACCAGACAGATATCTAGTACCATAATGACTCTGCGTATCCTCTTATAGATTCTAAGCTGATGCCAAATTCGTTGGCAAAGGGTACAGGAATGGTCGACTTGTTGAAGACTTTCAAAACGCATCGGAGACTTCGAGTAGAAATGGAGTCTGTTGTTGGATGGTGTTGCCTATATGCCTGCCATTTAAGCTGAAGATGGAACATAGGACCGTAGTTCTATAAATAAGCTCAGACCCTATAAGCTGTTATTGGCGACTTCGAAACAGAACTTGTTAGCAAAAGTAAACAAGTATAAGGAGAAGCATTAAATTATAAATCAGCTGAAATGCTAATCAGTCAGTACTGCTGACAGTTTATTTGTAATTCGGGATATCACAACAGAATTAAACGCTACCTTACCAAGTCGAGTTGAGTACCAACGGGAGCGTACGGTTTTGATACGTAATAACTGATCGGAATACCACTTTATTCGAAGAAAAAGTATGTGTTGACTTTTGAATGAAACAAGTGTTGACCCAGCAACACAACACACTTGTAGAATTCACGATTGCTCCATAGGTTTTCTGTGTGATACCTTCATGTACTCTCTCTAATAGACGCCTTTTTGTAAAATAAGTTTTGTTCGGGGGGAAATGATGTTTCAAAGTTGTTATAAACTGAGCTTGCTTCTGCCTGTCACATTAAACTGTAAAATGTGCACTGTCATTAATTAACTGTAAGCCTTTTAATAAGCTGTGATTATGTACGTGTACTGCAGTGTGTGTATGTGGCATGAGAATGAGCATGCTAAGCATTCAGGAGTGTAGGTAGTCGAAAATCGGTGAACTTCACTTTACACCCATTTGTTCTACTTCATGATTCTTTCTGCGGCTTCATATACTACTGTACTGTACTGTACTGGCTACTGTAAGCGCAGAAATGAAGGAAGCAGGTGGATCTTATACTAATACACTGGCCTAATATACAGCTAATAATTTCTTCATCGATATTTCCTTTTTTTTTATTAATGGTAAAGCGATTTTCGTTACATTTCGCGTTTTCGAACGATTGTTATTCGCATTAGTTTTTTAGGAAGAGGATGTAATTGTATGGAAAGGATTGAACAAACCAGCTGAACGAAAAGACGAACGAGATAGAGAAGAAGTTCCTCTGTCTGTAAGTCTTCGTGTTTGTTTTTTTTTTGAAATGCCCTTTCCTATTTGCTTGCTGGATACTGTGTACTGAATGCATCACGAATTAAAGTTACAATACTCGCGTTTTTAAATGTCTTGTCTTATATGTTGAGTGAAAACCAGCAACTCCTTGTTTTTCTTCGTTACTTGCAATGGTAATTCATAAAGTGGTCGGGTTTGCATGAGAGTGTTTCTTGAGACACTGATATCCTCTCTTCGCATTAGCATGTTCAATGTAGTCGGTTATAATTTCCTCTGAAGTAGTACGACCAAGTTTTAGAAAGTAAGATATATTTTTTATCTGTGATAAGTGTCCAACTTCATAAGACTCCGAAAGTAAGGACACGAAGAACTATGGGCATCTCTGTAGCGAGCATTTTACTACTGGCTGCAGAAGAGAAGAGCATGTGATGCAACAACATCAGAGTTCTCCATCTATCTGTGAAATGGTTTACGAATTTGGCGTAGGCTCACACGTATGAGTAAACGGTCCTCCCCGTATTAAGATCTGCGGAGACGTGAGTTGACATTTCAGTGGTATAAAGATTTTGATGCATCAGTTACAGAAAGCTTGAATTATGTTTTTGTAATGTAACCGGCGCACACGCAGAGTTTTAAGTGTAATCACTCGAGTCAAAAAAATCTTAGAACTCCCGAGGTAGTCCCATAGGTCCGAGGAGGTGTACTGTAAAAGTGTAATTCACCCACTTTGAAATGAGAACAGTTGGCGACCGATGGGAGAGAAACGCAGTGGATTCGACTCTGTGAGAACGCACGCATGCTTTAGCATGACCAGCTGCAATTTAGATAGGCCTGTTAATAGCAATCATCGATCATATGTTTACGGCTGCAAATATTTTTTGGTTGATTTTTTGGTTTTTTTGGTTTTATTTATTCGTGCAAGTCGCCAAACCTGATGTAGACCAGTATCGTTAACGCCGACTGCGTAAGTAAAACAACCAGAAAGTGCTGGGACTCGTATTGCGTACGAAGGTAGATTGTACAAAAATCCAAGTACTAGTGTCTTCCTTATTACTATTTTTAATCTTGCTGGTTTGTTTTAGCTTCAATAACAATTATCGTTATTCAATCGTGTGGTTGATTATTTGACCCCATTCTTTCATTTTTCAATAAGTACCGATTTTTAGCTTGCTGACTACGTATTTGCGGTGATCGGTACGTCGTTGTATCTTAGGTCGATGTGTAGATTAGTTATTTTAATGACAATGACATAAATGTTATGCCACTTTTTAAATGTGGTTTTAGATCGAGGTCACCGCCGGTGCTCAAGCATCTCTACAACGTTACCGTGAACAACAAACAAAGTTGCAAACAGATAATACACTTCGTATTGGAGCGCCTTGCAGGAATAACTCGTGCGATAAGGTTTTCTTGTTTGAAACAAATGTAGATGATTGAATTAGACCTTATTTTCCAGATAACACGGGGTGGTATTCAAGACCTCGTCGCATCTTTCAGTGTCTCTTCTTTTCCATCGTGATTTTTAGTCTTATTCTGGACCCGAGTCTGATGACACTCCGTGCGTTCATCACCCTGGTCGGGCTGTTTTTCATGAAGGAATGAAATATTGGTCGTGTTGCGAAAAGAAAACTTCGAATTTCAATGCTTTTTTGTCCCAGGCAGGATGCGAGAAGGGCAAACATCAATGGAGTACGGTAAGTGCATTATTTTCAGGATTAGGAAACATTTTTGGTGGTTTTGTGGTTTATAGGTAGTCGGCTAGTTTTAGAGGGACTGCTTTGAAACCTTAATCTGTTTTGAAATCATTTTTAAGCTTGAGAAACCCAGATGTTCAATGAAGTGCAGCTACAAATATAATGCTGTAAGAAAAACTAAGACTTCATTACCTTTTTGTGATATTCTACTCTATTTTTAGAATGAAAGGGTGGAAAATGTACGAGACGACTGGTTTTCGAGTAATGGTATGATTACGATCAATGTCTACTGCAAAGTGAGTTTGAGACATTCTCGTTTTCGGTCTTCAGTTTGATGTATTTATTTAATTAGGGCGCTGTACCTGGTGACATACGCGTGACTAGTGATGGTCAAATGTTACGTGCACATATTATTCATGGTTTTGGCCAGAAGGAAACGGATCTCATTTATGATCTGTGGGGAGAAATAGTATGCAGTGAAAGTCGTGTAATTGTTGGAGAGAGAAAGGTTATGTATACATCCTATCACTGTCCTTCTTACACTGATACTCACTGTATTAAAAGAACATTTTTCTAGGTTGAAATTGTATTAAAGCAGAAAGATCTCGCAGGATGGCCACGTTTGCGCTATGATCCAGCCTTAGATAGGAAAGAGGAGAATGTGGAGGATGTATCGATGGAATAACGAGAATTCAATCTCAGCTGGGTAGCAGGTTTTCCGGTAGTGTAGGTGAATTGGGTATTTTATAAAATGCAAAATTCCATGCACATATAATATGCACGTGTGTTCAAAGTGTCGTTGACATCCACATTAATGTGCGAACGACAGTGCTGTTTGGAATGGTTTGGACTTTTTATAATCACAATCAACTTAAGGGCTACTTTCTTTTACGGTGTAGCCAATGTAGCACAATAAACAGTTCAACAGTTACTTCATCTTTGTTATAAGTTGTTTCTTAGACTTTCTTTGATTCTTTGTAAAGTGTATAGGGACCGCTTTAATTATTAAGACGTTTTAATATCATATCCTATTAGATGGAATTTTAGAGGCCGAAGCAATTACGAGAGACTGTGAACGCTCTCCAGCTACTCTTCCCAATTTTTCGGTAGTAATAAATCTGCTGTGAAATCGGTGAATCGGTGGATTTTCTTTCATTGAACTCGATGTATCCAGTGCATCCATTCTTACACAATAACGAACATTACTTACAGACCTCTTGGTTGTAATTTATTTTTCAAAATGTTTATTGTGTTTTTTACTGTTTTGCAGCATCATGGTTTACGGTTTTTAACAAAGTATATTTTCATAAGTCATATTCAGTATTAGATCCTAAGAACCTGTTTGATAGTTTTTTGTAAGGCTTTGTTGCTATGTTAGCGAGTAAAAGATCAAAGAGACCTAGAAATAACGGGTAGTTCGGAAGTTAATTTGAGTTGCGCTTTACGAATTAGCTTTATAGATATATTTAGTTCCCAGGATCGACTTTCTCTTAACCTCGGCATTGGAATATGAATGCGTCGTTTTCTTGTTCAGCAATCGCGAGGTTTTTAAACAGTATACATTTACTTCCATAGAAAAACAATACAATACAACGCTAACTGACGTTTCGGCAGTATCGCCTTCTTCAGAACCTGGAATGGTATACTGATATACAATCTACTAGGCCAAACACTTAAATAACACTTACAAAAAGACGAAAGACTCCTTGGTAATTACATGATCAACGACTTCTCGAAAAACCCACCGCTTTTTTTAATAGATATATTCATTTATATGGTCTTATAAACTGATCTTTAGCTGATGCGAGGTTGGTGTAGGTCATCGTTGTCTCGCATCAGCTAAAGAAGATCAGTTTATAAGATCATATAAATATATATCAACTATCAATGCTGAGGTTTATAGAAAGTCGGTCTTTTGAGTTATTAACTTTATTGAGTTTTGTGGACGTGAGTAAGCACTAAAAGTTCTCAATATCTTCAGCAGTCATTGAGGATGCGTCAGTACATGGTGAAAATGCATTCTATGTTTTCAGTGTATATGTATTTGAACGAGCTTTCGATGGCTCTCTCAGCAATACTCGTCACCTGCTCATTCTACAAGGTGTTAAAGAGAACAATAACCACTAACTAAACTTTATCATAAATCCGCGAACGAGGGTTTCTCTTTCTTGTCCATTGAATGGCCACAACTTGAATAGGGAACGCTAAGATTTGACGAGAATGAGGGGAAATACCACTAGCTCGAATCGCATCACCATCACTGGAGGCAAGCGGGTGAAGAGCAGCTGACACTTGGGCTGATGGTTAATTTCAACCGAGATCCATCTTTTAGTCGAATACATCATTTGTAATGACCCAATCACTGAGTATTGAAATATTTGTTACTGTTAAGTATTCTACTACATCAGCAGTGGAAGAAGATGAGCTTCAACAGTTGAGAACTATCGAGTTTTTCGTACTCAACAGAGTGCTAAGCGTGAAGGATGAAGTAGGGGAGTACGAATAATTTACAAGCTGATGAAGGTTCCTTCATACGGCACAGCGACAGATGTTTCTGACCTGAGTAGGAGGCTTAGCCAGTGTTTTTAGAATTGTGCAAGTGTTTACACACAAGTCCTTGCAGAACGCATTCCAGCCAATTGCAAGGCAGCAACATGAGGACATTAGCTATTTTATGAAGAATACTCATAATATGGGTACTGAGGACGAAAAAGAAAAGAAAGGACTTTTATGCTATTGCGAGCATTGACATGACGGACGAAACATCCGGCGTTAATCAGTCGTTTAGGAATGCGTCATGCATCCGACTCCATTCGTAGCATTGTGGACGTGGTCGAGTGCATATTAGACCAAAGAAGTGATCTAGGGCAGCATAATGATGTATTAGGTCCGAGTTTTCTTTTTTCCACAGAAAAGTTTGTTGCCAATTTGCCGAACACGTGAGTGTGTAGAGATTCGTCAGCCCGTGGCGCGATGGCCAAAGGCCACCCTGTGGAGTGGGACATTGTAGGACATTCGGATACCTACGAGTTCGAAGATATTTTTAAGGAAAAGATGTGTCCACGTATGGAGCATTACGAAGTTGCTGAGTCGGGAACAGAAGATAATATTTCGAGAACAAAGAGACTCGAAGGGTTGAGGAGTTAATACCACTATAGATGAGACTTTGCTGTAGCGATTTATGGGTATGGATAATGTGTGTGCTACTATTTTATAATACTACGATCCATTATACAAGCATGTTGCTGTCGGCACTTGAAGTATTCTATCCCATGGTGAGCCTACTATCTCTGTCTTTGTTGTCGGAGCATTTCATCCGACAACTGTAGTTCATTAAAGCGATTATAATTGAAATAACAGCCAATTCCCTGTCAGATTACCGTCAATCGAGAACAATTTTTTTTTGGATCTAAGTTCGGAGTTCCTCCCAACGGTTTACCGCCTCATCGCTGCTGGGAGATGTTCCTGGGTGTCGGCCTGCGATGCACAGCGGAGGGATCCGTCCTCCCGGTAGGGTGTCCCAAGCTGAGGAGCCCGGCGTTTCTATCAGGAAGCCTAGTTAAGAGCAAACCAAAACCAGGATCCACCACCGTCTTGGTATCAAAGCCGCATGGTGGTAAATCTCCCTCTGATCCGCAAGAGTTACGACTGCCTGTCGTGGTGACGACATGTGGCAGACTTTGACCAGGCTGTCCTCGAGATTCCAGGGAACCACAATAGCTTAACCACCGTATCTTCGAAAAACGGTGATTATGCTGGAGCCCTTACAGCTAGTGATGACGGGCCTTTCAAGTATCAAGTAAATAAGTAAGTTCAGAGTTTCCCCGACCTGTGCTCATCACATCTGTGTTGGGCTAGGAATGTAGGGAAAGGGTTCTTTGCCCCAAAATCCGAAAAAGAAGTCCTCCGTAGAGGTCGTACCAGCCACAATTATCCGCTACTTATAAATGACACCTATAGCGGTTACGATCCCACCAATACTGTGTTGAATAGAGCTATTTTTTTGCCTAGAAACTTTATCACCCGTATCACAGCTATACACAAAATATCGCTTATTTTTCCAGTTAGGCCTTTCTTTTAGTCGAACTAGATTGCGGTGGTGGTTCATCAGAGTAGCTCTGACGCTTACGTGGGTCTTCTTTCCGGTTTCTTTTTTCCTCCCGGTTTTTCATGTTTTTTCCACTTAACGAACTAGGAGAACTTAGCCTTCACTGAAACACATACGCAGAGGTTTAGAATCAGCCACAGTTTGAAATGTACGGTATTTTCTTTATGAAACTGACGTGCACTTGTTGTAGAGATTTTGCAATATGCTATTGACTTACTTGGATACTTAGATGGCCCGTCCTGAATACTTGTGCTGACCCCAGCACAACTTCCATCTCTTCGGAGTTTTGGTGGCTTTGCAATTGTGGTTCCCTGGAGCGCTGAAGTCAGACTAGCCAAAGTCTTTCCCAAGTCGTGGCCACCCAAGGCAGTCGCCGTCCTTGTGGATCGGAGGGAGATTTGCCCTCATGCGAGTAGTTTGATGCCAGAACGGTGGTGGATCTTGGTATTGATTTACTCTTAATTGAGCTTTCTGATGGAAATGCTTCACTCCTTCTCAGCTTGGGAGACCCTGCCAGGGGATAAATTCCACCGCTGTACATCGTAGCTCAACACCCAGGAACACCTGTCAGCCACTATGAGACAGCAAACTGTAGGGAGATTTTATAATACAAAGGTTTGATTAAAAAAAAATCTAGCATTGAAAAATAAACGCATTAAACACGATGGCATAAGATAAAAACCGAATTATTCAGTTATTTTCGAGCGTATTATTGTCAACAACGATTTCAAAGCAGAGTTACAGCACTTGCATGGTGCTTATCAGCTATTTTCTACCTTTGTGACTTCCTGGTGAGTCACATGAGCGATCTCTTAGAACCCCACGGACCTTAACACAATTTACACTGCGGTCTTCATAGAATCACCTGAACCATCATTTTTTCCATCTACTGTTGTACTTTGTCCTATAGGGCTGTACAGTTGCCAGTGGTTATCAAACACCTTGAGAGATGCACTGCAATTGGATCAATCTTCGAGCTTACTCTGTTCTTAAACAATTCCTCGTTGTAGGCGATAGGACTCGAAGTTTAAGTGAAATTGTCGATGCAGTATCGTATCGGAGTCACTGGAGATCTGAAAATCAGAATAAATCTCAGTCTAATCCGATGTGGCACGAATTCCTTTGTCCACAACATCTCAGAAGGCGTGTATCGGTCACCCTAGTTATCACTGAACAGAGGGTTCTTGATTTACAAGGACCCTTGCTTTATCAGTTTGTCACTATGACGGCCACCAATCATTCTTGTAAATGGAAGGCAGATTTGCTACCATGCAAGTACAGTTGTTTCAGCCCATGAAGACTACTTATATACCCTAATAGAAGCAGCAGGAGATGTAAAGGTCGAAAACTGTTCTAAATCTGGATACCTTCGCAGCGAAAATGAGCCTTGGTCGTTGTTCAGCACATGCGAGCACGCAAGGGTAACAATGTGTCTGGACTATAGCTCCTTATTATCGTCACCAACAATAGCTTTACGGATCCCAGCACTTCTCACATTCGATTCGTTTCGTCGCATCCATCATCCGCGAAGGTCCTCCAGCTTTTGTCGTGTGGGTTCGGCTGCTGCTTGATAACTT